TGTTTATAAAGCAGTGATGCCAACAGAACAGGTGGTTGCTGTGAAGAAACTTCACCGGTCACAAACAGAAAAGTTGTCCGATTTTAAAGCTTTTGAAAAGGAAGTTTGCGTGTTGGCAAATATTCGACATCGAAATATTGTGAAGCTGTATGGATTTTGCTCACATGCAAAGCACTCTTTTTTGGTTTATGAGTTCATAGAAAGAGGAAGCTTGAGAAAGATTATAAGCAGTGAGGAACAAGCAATTGAGTTAGATTGGATGAAAAGGCTAAACGTTGTGAAAGGGGTGGGTGGAGCTTTATCCTATCTACACCATTCTTGCTCTCCTCCGATCATTCATCGTGACATTACCAGCAATAATGTCCTTCTGGATTTGGAATACGAGGCGCATGTCTCTGACTTCGGCACAGCTAGACTGTTGATGCCTGACTCATCCAATTGGACCTCATTTGCAGGTACTTTTGGATATACTGCTCCAGGTGCGTGGCTTTACTTCAACATTAAGTTCCTGTAATAGTAAGAATAATAGTATGTTTTTAGCTTATAGTATAGATACATAAGTAATTTTTTTTCAATTTTATTTCTATCAACTATGTGATAAAAACACAGCATAACCATTTTTTTTTTTGGCAGAGCTAGCTTACACGATGAAAGTGACTGAAAAATGTGATGTCTATAGCTTCGGAGTGGTAACAATGGAAGTGATGATGGGAAGGCACCCAGGCGATCTCATCTCCACAATCTCATCACAAGCATCTTCCTCGTCATCTTCGAAGCCACCGATTTCTCAACAGACATTGTTGAAGGATGTGCTTGACCAACGCATCTCGCTTCCTAAAAAAGGAGCAGCAGAGGGTGTTGTCCATATCATGAAGATAGCACTTGCATGCTTGCATCCCAATCCGCAATCCCGACCTACAATGGGAAGAATTTCTTCGGAGCTTGCAACTAAGTGGCCTTCTCTGCCAAAGGAATTTGACACAATAAGTTTGGAAGATCTGTTCTCACATGCAGTTAGTGTGGTCGACTGACCAGTTTTTTGTGGGGTTTTAACTTCTTCTCTTCAACTATAGATTTGAGCAATAAATTTTGTAATGTGATGTAGACTATGTTCATGGATTGGCTTTTTTTTTTTTTAAAGTATGTCAAAAAATACCAGTTATGAAAGATAAGTGAAACAACAATTAATTAAGAAATGGTCATGCTATATTTTCAAATTTGACACCACTGCTCCTAGTCTCGGTTCTGAATGTAGAAAGAGCAAGATTAAAACCCGTAGTCCTTTCTACAATTCATTATGATCTCCCCATCAGTTCCAGTAAGTGGCTTCATATTTCCCATCTTGATCATGTGCTTTGATATATATGATGACAATAACTTTTTTTCTTTATTTTCTTGGTTACCAAGTAACAATGTTACACTTTCCATTTCGTGCCAATGGGATTACTTTGTTCCCAAAAACATATATCTATTTTTCATAAACAAGCATAAACAAAGATTAATGCAATACAGAAAGCATATAGAAGTGAACGTTATCCGTTACCTGTTCCCAAAAACAAATGGGTGTAAATTTTAAAAGGGTTCACCAGTACTCTGCAATTCATTCTGATCTCTCCAAAGCCAATGAGAGACATCATATTTCCCATTTTATTCACCAAATCCACAAAATATTTTATATCGAAACGTGTTGTAGTTGAATCAAGGTTTCCTGACATCGTCTCCTCCACTTCGTGGGAAACATGAGCTCGAGGAGGTAGTAAAATTTGTTAAAAAATAATATAAATTATATTTTAGTATCTTATTTAATAATTTAAGTTTTTAAATGAGATGATTTTTTGATATGATATCAGAGTTTTAATGACCAAACGATCACGAGTTTGAATCTCATCATCTCTATTTATTTGATAAAAATTAAGTATAAAGTAATGTGAATCTATGCAAATTTCAAAGTTAAAGAGTTTTTATTTAAAAGAATATATTAAAAAATAATATAAATTATATTATATAGTCTCATCTAATAATTTAAATTTTTAAATAAGGTAGTTATTTAATAAAATTGGATTTTATATCAGTTTCGTTCTAAATTCGGAAAGTGACACACCGAGCAAGTCCAATTGAGTGACTTGTTGGGAGGACAACTAGATCACGAAGGTCTAGTCTATGAGATTGGTAGCTACAGAGGAGTTGGGATAAGTTGAAAAATGGAGGGGGAAGACTGCTGTTCTCGTCATTTTTGCTTGTTGTTCCTAAAAGCACTGTAGATGGTGCGCTCTTATGCCGTGTTTTGGTCAAAAATTGCAGCTGGGAATTACCTTTTTGTCAAAAAGATATCGGCTTAATTGAATCCAATACTATTAAATTTTATTATTAAATCTGGTTTCAAATACTTCTAAAAAGAGTTAAAAAGCTCAAAATACTTTAAAAAAGGACTAAATTTGGCTGTCCAATCACACTTCTCTAGCCAGACTTGTTGATCTTAAGTTTGACTGAAAAGTTGAATATAATATCATTAGATTTAATGTATAGTTATATTAAAGATATTATTATTTATATTATATATATTTTAAATTTTAGTATTATTAATTTTATTATTTGTATTTTAAATATTATTTTTTTATTATAATTAAAAATATTAATATAAAAAATAATATTATTTACGTTATAAATATTGCATAGCATCTTATATTTTTTTGTTGAGAATTGCAACTAGAAGCAACTTTTTTTTGTCAAAAGCTATTGAGTTCAGTTGTTACCCAATATTATTAAGTCTTATTATTAAATCAAGCCCAAAACACTTTAAAAAAAAGTCAACAATATTAGAAGCAAAACTCAATAATAAGACAAACCTAGAACACTTCAAAATAAAATGAGGTTTGATTGTTCCGTTAAACTCACCAAACTGAATCTGGTTAGTCAATAAAATCCTATATCTTTAGATTTAGTTAAATAGTCATGTTCAAAAATATTATTATTTGTATTATAAATATTTTAAAGTTTTATTATTATCATTATTAATATTAAAAATATTATTATTTATGTTATAAATAATATTATTTTTATTATAATTAACAATATTAATATTAGAAATAGTATTATTTTTGTTATAAATATTATTATTTTTACTATAATTAAAATACTGATATAAAAAAATATTATTATTTTTATTATAAATAATATTATTTTTACTATAATTAACAGTATTGATATAAAAAATAATATTATTCATGTTATAAATATTATTATTTTTACTATATAATTAAAAGTATTAATATTAAAAATAATATTATTTACCCTATAAATATAGTAAAATCTTGTGGGGTGTTTCTCCACTGTTTTTTTGTCAAGAGTTTTAGCTAAAGGCATTATCTTCTCTGTGAAAAGCTATTAGAACCATCTTGACAACGATTCCAGCTGTTGGCTACATGTCGAGTGGTGGGCATTGCCTCCTCATTTGATCTGTCTAGCTAGTAGATGCTTTGGGGGCTTCGTAGGATGGCATGCTGCATGGGATTAGCTGGGCTGGGGTGAGCTTGCTTCAACTTACATGTTTCAATAATGAAGTGAAACATTGGGTCTTCATGATCGACCAAATCCATTTCATCAGTTCATATATATAGATTATATTTACATTTGTTGCAAGAATAATAATAATTACTGGCATTTCCATCAAGAACACGAATAACAGAAATTAATGATGATTACTCGTTTTTTTTCTTTCTTAATCTCTGGAATTAATGATCTATATGTTTATAAACATAATGTTATGTGAAGAATTTTGTAGAGCAATTTGAAACCCCTCCTGAAGATATGGGCACCAGATGCAATGGCAGTGGGACATGATGACATCAGGTTTGAGAAGAGAAATTTTACTTTTTTCTGTCAATGGATTCTATCAAAAATCTCATACTTTAAATTTACTTTCTTAGGAGGACATGACATAGTGCTATGGATTCTATCAATGGATACTGGAAATGAATACTACAATGGGGATGAGATAGTACCTGTCAAATAACTAATTTAATTTAATAGTTTAAATTATTAAATAATTTTATTTAATAAATAAAATTAATAAAATTTAAATTCATGAATTGGTCATTTAGACTATAATATCATTTCAAAGAACTAATTCAATCTAATAATTTAAATTATTAAATGAGATCTTAAAATACAATTTATATTATTCTTTAACAATACGAACAAAACAATAAAAACAAAATTGATTTGTAGACAAGATAATATATATTTTTTTTATTCTTGTAGTTATTTAGTGTTGAGATATAAGAAAAAAATACATGAAAGTTATTGTAATTCAATTTTAGTCTATTGGCTTTTAATTTAATTTTACAGGGTTTAAAATATAAAATTAAAATATCAGAGATTTATTTTGATGAAAAGTGTAATTTGTCAACTTGTGTGAAAATTATAAACTATAATGTGTCTTTGTCATTCTATCCTTATCCTCAAGATAATTTTTACTGTCAAGATAATTCTTATTTTCTTCGAGATAATCCTTACATTCAAGATAATGATAGTTGTCTGTTTTCGAATTCGATTCTAATTCAAACTTTAAAAAAAAAAATGAGTTTGATTGAAATTTTATTTTTTACATGAGAAAGGATTTTAACACTATAAATACAGACCTCAATATATACCAAAAAAAAATATTAGAAAGAAATACACAGAAAAAAAAATCCAGGAAAAGACTAATATCAAAATCCTACAAAAAAAAAATATATTTATAAAAAAAAAAATGCTGTCGAATTCTAGACTAACCATCAATACCCCCTCCCCAAGCTTTTTCCTCTCTTCTTCCCGTAGCAGCCCCCAGTTAATATTCATTCCAACAGCACCGTTGCAATGACATTTGATCTTCCGTATAGCCCACTATATTGTCGCATGCAATGATTTGGAGAGGGAGAAGAAATTATGAAAAAGATTCCAATCATATCATACATATATGATTGAAAGTGCAAATAATAATTTTTTTAAAATATTTTTTTTATTTTTTAAAAATTATCTGTAATATCATCACAACAGAATAATCTAATAATTTTAAAAAAAAATTAATTTAAAAAAAATTAAATTTTTTTCAAAAACTTTCCGAAAGGCAATGCAAAACATTATCTAAAAACCTTACAATTTTTCCATTCCCATGGACCCATCTACAGTACTATTCAACTCCTTAAGCAGGATAGCGTGTGAACGTTGGACTTTCCGACAATAACTTGGAAAGGGGAAACAAAGATGATTTGGAAATTTCAACAGAGTCAAGCGCCAGAGAAACAGGAGTTAATTTACATTTATGATGATAAAAATTTATGATTTTTTTATGTATTTCTTTTATTAATTTTTTAATATAAGTTTGTATTTTTATATTATAAAAATACAAATTTAGTATTAAAATATATAGTTTTCTCCTAAATGATGCAAAAAAAATAAAAATAAAAACAACAACAAAAAAATTTCTTATTTTCATGCATACTGTCATATCTCTCAAAAATATAAAAAATTCATATCGTATTTTTATATAATTTTTTTAAAAAAAATATATATTAGCATACATTTTGAGTTTTAATAATCAGTTTATTAAAGTTATGAGAACTAGACCTATATTTCAAAAATACTTAAAAAAATATTTTGTTTTCTTTTAATATATAAGATTATGAACTTATATATAAAATGTATTCCTAATATTAAATAAAAGATAGTTCTTTTTTGTTAATGTTAGAATGATTAGGTTTTACTTAATAAAATAAGAATTTTCTTATTGAAAATAATTTTTCTTAAATTTTAAACAGACCAACAATTAGAAAACACAACAATATCTTATTTTATATCAAATAATTAAACAATATAACTTACCTTAAATAAAACGTATTAGAAATGCTAATACATTCTCTCTACACAATCAATCCCCGTACTCAATTTTTAAAACTAGTTAAGGTTCTTAGTAACCAAAATAATACGTGGTAAGTAGCGACTCTCATTTTCTCTTTCCATTAATAAAAGATAAGAAATCTTTGTCTTTCCTATTTCTTAATATTATCTGAGAATATGCTCACCGCAACACTTTACATGTGTGACAATGGGTAAAAAATAAACTGACTTTCAAAAACTTAAGATTAAAAAATAAAATCTTTGGTTTAATGAGAAGAGGGTTACAACAACCATAAGAATTATAAGAAAGAAAAATAATTTTCTTGTAACTTTTTATTATATACTTAGATTAAGTTTAAACTATCTTGAATATGGATTTAGGCTAAAAATTTGTGTTACAAATTAATGTCATGGAAAAACTGTAATGGTATAATTTGTCATTGTATTTGACACTTGTTCAGGAATTCCCCGGAACCAAAGGGAGTCAACATTGTCAATATTTATAGACTTGCACACATTAGGATGGAGAGCCCACAATATTGTTGCTTCCTATGATTTGGAAAGGGAGAATAAATTATTGATGAATTTGAAATTTCATAACCAATGTTCCGATAGCAGACCATTTCAATGGTTTTTTTTTTAAAAAAAAACAACAACTAATTAGAAACAATTCCATTAGATGAGAGCATATATGCATGGTGATGCAATATTTTCTTTCATGGTATTTTTTTTGTAAAAAAAATCAAATATTTTTTTTTAAGCAAAATAAAGCTTGTTAAATGCAGGAAGAGATACGAGTTTAACTATACAAAAACAAAAGCATCAAGGCAATCTGAAACCAACATAATTAGTGGTGATGTTTGCTCTCTTTTTTTCTTTTTTATTTTTATAGATGTGTTTTTACTCTCTCTTTTTATAATGATTTATCAATTAATAAACATATTTTTTTTTATTGGTTAAACGCATAAATGATTGATACCTAAGCATAATGGATAGAATGACACTAGTTTTAAGAGAATAATTTCTTAAGCATGACTAATAATATGACTCGCGTGATATCATGGGTTAAATTTTTTATATAAGAAAACAAAACAAAAAAACTAAAATCTAAAAGTATTAGATCTTGAAGTAAGACTATATCCAAGAATCTTGAGTTTAATTGCAATACCTGATCTAAAAATAATAGTTATAATATTAATAATAATATTAAATTTGTGTGACCTAAGTTTAAGTGAGTTTGACTACAACACCAAATTCAATAGCCTTGGACATGGGTCTAGCTGAAAAATCTGAATTAACTGGGGTTAACCCTTCAAATCAGGTTAACCCGTTAAACTTGAAATTCACGTCATGAAAGTTTGATAACTAAATAAAAAAAAATTGATGGGTTAACTGGGTTAAACCATCAAATCAGGTTAACCCGTCAAGCCCAAATATGTATAATGAAAATCTGATAATTAAATAGAAAAAAATTTAACATTAACAAACTAAACTAAACAAAAAAATTAATTAAAAATAAAAAAACAAAATAAATTTTGGGTTAACTCGTCATATCAGGTTAACTCGTCAAGAAATTTAACATTAATAAACTAAATTAAAAAAATTATTAAATGAAAAAAACATAAAGAAAAAAGCAAAAAAAAACCTATAAAAACTATATATAAAAAAAGATAGCTCAAGGTATTTAGTATACATTATTATTATTATAATATATAAGTATAGGCGTGGGAAAGCTATAATGCTTTCCCCACGCGTTTTAGAATATCGATTAATATTGATAGTTAGAGGGAAGGCATGAGAACTTAATCGACCGTAGGAAGACGGCAACTAATCAATGAATTTCCAGCTTCATGTTGTATCCATCATTTCATTAGAAAATCCAACCCCAAATTGCACGATAACTTCCATTGCAGAAATCATGAACAAACACTCGCTATCACATTCAAGAAAATTATGACAACTTCGGTAGGCAAAATAATCAACCGTACGTAAGAAGCTGGCAGCAAGACCCACCCTCTTAAATGGCATTAATGGAGGTATAAGATAAAATAAAATACATATAAAAATGTTAGAATTATCCTTCCATAAATAAAATATTTTTAGTCCATCGCTGAAAAGCGAGTTTTATGACTAGATTTTCCGAGAGATTTTTCTGTTGATATTTATACTTGAAATCCGCCAAAAATCCTTCTAGTGAGAGCCCACAACGTTACAATTTTTCCATCCCCACTGACCCGTCTGCACTATTCAGTCCCTCAAGCAAGATAGCGTGTGAACGCTGGACTTTCCGACAATAATTTGGAAAGGGGAAACAAAGATGATTTGGAAATTTCATCTTTTATTTTTGAAATCTCACACGCATGAATTATGCTATCTTTTATTTTTATTTAGTTTTTTTAGATGGGTACTACTCCTGTTATTATATCTCCATTTATGATATTTATTTTTTAAATAAAAATAAACTAAGAAATGGCTTTTCAATTCTACGTAGAAAGCAAGTCAACATTGTCAATGTCTACAATATTTGTCGCATCTTATGATTTCCAATGGGAGAAGAAATTATTGATGAACTGGAAATCTCAGATTTAAATATTCGATGAAATTGAAAAAAAGGACTCCGCTCAAATAAATACCACTGCATGTAGCCTCGGATCTCCATCTACCATAGCAAACCATTAATATTCTGCATCTCTTGAAAACACAACATGACGTCCTTACAGCACAAACCATACTTCTCAATCTTTCTCCACGTCCTTATCTTCTTGCTCCTTCACATGTTCTACTCCTCTTCTTTCCTTGTTCTTGCTGATCACACTTCCTCTAAAACTTCGATATATGGTACGGCTACTAGTGCTGCCAATTCCAAAGTTGCTAGAGGTAATGTTAAAGAAGCTGAGGCTCTTCTCAAATGGAAAGCAAGTCTTGACAACCAAAGCCAATCTCTCCTTTCTTCTTGGGTCAGCACCAGCCCTTGCATTGATTGGATTGGAATCACTTGCGACGGTTCTGGAAGTGTCGCCAATCTGACCTTCCCGCACTTCGGTTTGAGAGGTACGCTTTATGATTTCAACTTCTCATCCTTCCCCAATCTTTCCGTTCCTGACCTTTCGAACAATTCAATTCATGGAACATTACCATCACATATCGGTAATCTATCCAAGATTACTCAGTTGGGCTTATGTTATAATGATCTCACGGGAAGTATCCCATCTGAGATAGGCTACATGAAAAGTATCACTGATTTAGTTTTATGTAGAAATCATTTTAGTGGCTCCATTCCACATGAAATTGGAAAGTTGACGTCTCTTTCCCGTCTCTCATTAGCTACAAATAATCTCACTGGTTCGATTCCTTCCTCTATTGGAAATTTGAAAAACCTATCCAGTCTCTTTCTTTGGGGTAACAAACTCTCTGGTCGCATTCCTTCAGAAATAGGACAGCTTAAATCTCTGGTGGCATTGAGCTTGGCTACTAACAAACTTTATGGTCCATTGCCCCTAGAGATGAACAATCTCACCCATTTAAAGCAATTTCATTTGTCTGACAACAAATTCACGGGTCAATTGCCACAAGAGGTATGCCACGGAGGCGTATTGGAAAATCTTACCGTTGCCAACAACTGTTTCTCCGGTTCCATCCCGAAAAGCTTGAAAAACTGTACCGGTTTACACCGACTAAGACTTGATAGGAATCAATTCACAGGAAATATTTCTGAGGATTTTGGCATCTATCCACATTTGGATTATGTTGATTTGAGTTACAATAATTTTTATGGTGAGCTTTCTTTGAAATGGGGAGATTATCGTAACATAACGAGCTTGAAAATTTCAAACAATAATGTTTCCGGGGAGATACCAGCAGACCTCGGGAAGGCTACTCAATTACAATTGATTGATCTGTCCTCAAATCACTTGGAAGGAACCATCCCAAAAGAATTAGGGGGGTTGAAGCTGTTGTACAACCTTACTCTTAGCAACAACAATCTTTCAGGTGCCATTCCCTCAGACATGAAGATGCTTTCTTCCCTCAAGATCCTTGATTTAGCATCTAATAATCTAAGTGGATCGATTCCAAAACAACTTGGGGAGTGCTCATATTTATTGTTGCTGAACCTCAGTAATAATAAATTTACAAATAGCATTCCACAGGAGATAGGCTTCCTGCGTTCTCTTCAAGATCTTGTTCTTAGTAGAAATTTCCTTGCTCAAGAGATACCGTGGCAACTTGGGCAGCTGCAAATGTTGGAAACTCTGAATGTCTCTCACAACATGCTTTCTGGATTGATTCCGCGCACTTTCAAAGATCTATTAAGCTTGATACTTGTGGATATATCATCCAATAAGCTACAAGGCCCCGTTCCCGATATCAAAGCCTTCCACAACGCTTCATTTGAGGCATTAAGGGATAATATGGGTATATGTGGCAACGCCAGTGGTCTAAAGCCATGCAATCTTCCAGAAAGCAGCGGAACTGTTAAGAGAAAGAGCAACAAACTTGTTATTTTGATTGTACTCCCTCTTTTAGGAAGCTTACTCTTAGTGCTTGTTGTGATTGGAGCTTCTTTCATTCTCCGCCAGAGAGCTAGGAAGAGAAAAGCTGAGCCAGGGAATACTGAACAAGATCGAAACTTATTCACGATATTGGGCCATGATGGGAAGTTGTTGTATGAGAATATCATTGCAGCTACCGAGGAATTCAATTCCAACTACTGCATTGGCGAAGGAGGATATGGAATTGTTTATAAAGCAGTGATGCCAGCAGAACAGGTGGTTGCTGTGAAGAAACTCCACCGGTCACAAACAGACAAGTTGTCCGATTTTAAAGCTTTTGAAACGGAAGTTTGTGTTTTGGCAAATATTCGACATCGAAATATTGTGAAGCTGTATGGATTTTGCTCACATGCAAAGCACTCTTTTTTGGTTTATGAGTTCATAGAAAGAGGAAGCTTGAGAAAGATTATAACAACTGGGGAACAAGCAATTGAGCTGGATTGGATTAAAAGGCTAAATGTTGTGAAAGGGATGGCTGGAGCTTTATCCTATCTACACCATTCTTGCTCTCCTCCGATCATTCATCGAGACATTACCAGCAATAATGTCCTTCTGGATTTGGAATATGAGGCACATGTCTCTGACTTCGGCACGGCTAGACTGTTGATGCCTGACTCATCCAATTGGACCTCATTTGCGGGTACTTTTGGATATACTGCTCCAGGTACGTAGCTTTACTTCAACATTAAGTTCCTGTAATAGTAAGAATAATAGTATGTTTTTAGCTTATAGTATAGATACATAAGTAATTTTTTTTCAATTTTATTTCTATCAACTATGTGATAAAAACACAGCATAACCTTCTTTTTTTTTTTGGCAGAGCTAGCTTACACGATGAAAGTGACTGAAAAATGTGATGTCTATAGCTTCGGAGTGGTAACAATGGAAGTGATGATGGGAAGGCACCCAGGCGATCTCATCTCCACAATCTCATCACAAGCATCTTCCTCGTCATCTTCGAAGCCACCGATTTCTCAACAGACATTGTTGAAGGATGTGCTTGACCAACGCATCTCGCTTCCTAAAAAAGGAGCAGCAGAGGGTGTTGTCCATATCATGAAGATAGCACTTGCATGCTTGCATCCCAATCCGCAATCCCGACCTACAATGGGAAGAATTTCTTCGGAGCTTGCAACTAAGTGGCCTTCTTTGCCAAAGGAATTTGACACAATAAGTTTGGAAGATCTGTTCTCACATACATTTAGTGTGGTCTACTGACCAGTTTTTTGTGGGGTTTAACTTCTTCTCTTCAACTATAGATTTGAGCAATAAATTCTGTAATTTGATGGAGACTATGTTCATGGGTTGGCCTTTTTTAAAAAAAAAAAGTATGTCAAAAAATATACCTCTTATGAAAGATAAGTGAAACAACAATTAATTAAGAAATGATCATGCTATATTTTCAAATTTGACAAAACTTTGCTCCTTGTTTCGGTTTTGAATGTAGAAAGAGCAAGATTAAAACCCGAAGTCCTTTCTACAATTCATTATGATCTCCGCATCAATTCCAGTAAGTGGCTTCATATTTCCCATCTTGATCATGTGCTTTGTTATACATGATGATAATAATTTTTTTTCTTTTTTTTCTTGGTTACCAAATAACAATGTTACACTTTCCATTTCATGCCAATGTGATTACGTGCATAAACAAAGATTAATTCAATACAGAAAGCATATAGAAGTGAACATTTCCATTGCCAGTTCCGAAAAACAAATGCGTGTAAATTTTAAGAAGGATTCACCACTCTGCAATTCATTCTGATCTCTCCATTGCCAATGAGAGACATCATATTTCCCATTTTTTTCACCAAATCCACAAAATATTTCGTATCGAAACTTGTTGTAGTTGAATCAAATGGTTTCCTAACATCTTCTCCTCCACTTCGTGGGCAACATGAGCTCAAGGAGGTAGCAAAATTGGTGTATATATCAGTTTCATTGTAAATTCGATAGCAGAAAGTGACTCACCAAGCAAGTCCAATTGAGTGACTTGTTGAGAGGACAACTAGATCATAAAGGTCTAGTCCATGAGATTGGTAGCTACAGAGAAGTTGTGATAAGTTGAAAAAAGGAGGGGGGAGATTGCTGTTGGCGTCATTTTTGCTTGTTGTTCTTGTATCGTTTCTTCCTAAATAAGCTGTGGGTGTATGATGTATAATGTTCTTGAAAACAATGTACATATCAGTGGAAAATCCATGATTTCAATACATTTATGGGCAAAAACTTTGTGAGGGCACATGATTGAGTATTGTAATTCATATCAAATAGAATCACTATTGAATATTGTTTCTTCTTTTTTTCTGTATTTTCTTTTTTTTTTCTTCCTCTTATTTGATCTTATTCTTATTTATTGCCTTGGCTATTAGCTTTATAATATTTTCAATATATTTTTTATGATTATTAAAAAAAAGACTTTTGAATATTGTTTTTCTTCTGCATTCCTATTCCTATATATATATATATATATATATATATATATATTAAGCTTGAATTAAGCAGTCTAACTATCAAATAAATCAAACTCAAAATCTAACACATGCATCTTCTCTCTTTTTTTTCAAATGTGATTTTAATTTGTTGCCTCTAACATCATAGAAGAGAGTTCATAAATTCCAACTAACATATATGCATCACTTGACCAATCACCACTTCCAACTATATTTAGTACAGTTTGTTTCAACACTCCAAGTTGATATGCCATATTCAGATGCCATCAAGGAGCTTAATTAATTCATTCGATCGATTAATGGTGTATCCCTGCTACAAATTTTTGCCCTCCTAACCCTGCTTTGCCTAACAACAATGGTGGACGGTGCATTCCTCCTCTCCAACACTTTGATATGGCTGTGCCTGCTTTCTTGCAATGGTTTTTTTTTTTTTTTTTACCGTGCTGGAATTGTTCCTGTAGCATTTAGGAGGTAAATCTTGCTTGCAGATTTTACAATTTTCCTTCTGTTTTTCATTTTATTTCAATTAAATTTAGGATATATTCTAGAATAATCTTTCTGCCATTAACTAATGCATCTGCCACTATAATATTTAAGCTACGCTAATTATTGGGCACTTAAGCGCTTCTTATTATACAAACTGAGAGGCAAGAGGCAAAGGGGGGCTTTTGGTGTAGGTTTGGAAGAGAAGTGACCCTGCCATTACCTAATGCATTCAGCGAAGTCGTAGTTTCTAAATCATATCCCATCAAAACGTATTGAAAACCTTTGGAGTACTTATCATACAAATCCATTTTCACCAATGACGCATAATAATTGCAATTTTGCATCTGGCAAAATCTAATCAAATAAGTAAAAAAAATCAATGCTCATATGGTTAGTCATGAACATTAATCAAAAGTGAGAACAGCCACCCATCATGACAATTTTTGACCCAGGATTTCAAAATCAACCATGCAATAAGCAAAAAAAAAAAAAAAACTTCCAAATATCTAAAAATAAATAAAACACACTCTCATATAAAAAAAATATGAGCCCAAGTTGGCCTTACTAGGCATTTTACCCAGCACCGCTAAGGGCTAGCGTACACACTCAAGCCTAATGATCATGGGCTCAAGCAGTATGTTTGGTTTATTTTTTACTCCTAGCAGGTTTAGGCAACTTACCTGAGTTTAGTATTCTCTTAAAAAAATTTCTAGAATTCTTTTGTATATTTTAATTGATGTAATATATATTACATTGAATGAAACATAACTCAAAATACCATATTAATTTATAGGGGTGAAATAACTTTTCAGCCCTCCTATCCACAAAATGATAAACCCCTCCTATTCACAAAATGATAAAATTCATGAGTTATAAATATTTTATAAATCCTCTAAATTCTCGGTTCACAATCTTTATTTCTCCAATCCATACATATTTTTCAGAGTTTCTCTGAAATATCATTGCATTGTCTTTACAAAGATACCTTCAAGCTCTAGATTCACATTCTTTCTTCTTTATTTTCCCTTCTTTAAAAATATTATTGTATTTTCTTTCAATAAAGATATTTACTTAAATATTTGAGAGTTGTTTATCCACCATAGAAAAACTTTTTATAAGTATCAACTACCCATTACCAGTTGTTTCTAACTTACCAAGTACTAGATACTTATTATCAGTTATCGTGGCTTACCAGACACTAACTACTATTCACCTTGGTCTCTCACCTATTAGCCACTTTGGCTTCCCACACAAGCTACTAGTCATGTTGGCTAAAGAGAATGGATCGAATTACTAAAATTAAGTGATTAATTAATTATCTAATATATTTAAACTTTGTTACTAAATTACTTGAATTTTAGGTAGTTTTTGTGGTTGTGATTTAAAAAATAAATTTTACAAAAGTGTAGTTAGTTATGGTTAGTTGGATTTATATACGTGTTTAGTAAAAAATATGTTTGAAGTTTATAAGTAGTAAAAAACATGTATAAAATATTTGGTGGAAATGTGGTTGTTGTTGCTTTTCAATATGCTTTATACTTAAAAATGTATTAAAATAATATTTTTTTAAAAAAATTATTTTTAATATCAGCGCATCAAATTAATCTAAAAATACCAAAATGTATATTAAGTTAAAGCAAAAAAATAAATAAAAATTCATTTTTTTTTAAAAGTACTTTTAAAAAACAAAAATAAATAGGTTTTTACAAAATTCAGTTAAAACAACATGTAAAAATTGAATTTCAAACTCATTTTAAAACAGGGTTTGTTACCATTGCCACATTTATTTCATCACAAACATAAAAAGCCATCAAAAACTAACACAGCCTAAATCATATCCCATCAAAGTGTTTTGAAAACCTTTGGAGTACTTATCATACAAATCTATTTTCACCAATGACGTATGATAATTGCAATTTTTCTTCTGGCAACATCTAATCAAATAAGTAAACAAAATAATAATAATCAAATCTGAATCTAATATGCTTAGTCATATGAACATTAATCAAGAGTGAGAGCAAGCACTCATTAAGCCACTCATTATGACAATTTTTGACCCGTGATTTCAAAAATCAACCCATGCAATAAGCAAAGTGATGAATCAAAAATTAAGATTTAAAAAAACTCTCAAATATATAAAAAAAAAAATACTTCCTCGTAAAAATATAAGCCCAGGTTGCTACCTAGACCCATGTTAGGCACACACCTAGCCTTGTTAGGCATGCTATCATTATCAGTGCCGTGCTGAGGATGTTGCCCAGCATCTCTAATAGCTTGGGCACACACCTGTGCCTGATGATCATGGCCCAAGAATGCGTATGGATCCATTTTCTGCTCCTAACAAGCTTGGACAAACTCGTTTGAGCCTAATACTATTTTAAGAATTTTTATAGGATCCCACTTGAATCCCTTAAAAATTTTGTATATTTTATATTGATGTAATATATATATTATATTAAATAAACACAACTTAAAATATCATATTAATTTATAAGGATGAAACAACTCATTAACCTTTCATATTCATAAAATAATAAAAATCATAGGTTTTAAATACTTTATAAATCCTTTAAGTTCTATATTTACAATCTTAATTTCTCCAATGAATACATATTTTTTAGAGATACCATTGCACTATATCTACAAAGATACCTTCAGGCTATGGATTCACATTTTTTATTCTCCATTCTCTAAAAATATCATTGCATTCTCTTAAAATAAAGATATTTATTTAAATATATAAGAGTCATCAATTTACCGTAAATTTTATATATATATATATATCAGCTATATATTACCAATCATATCTGACTTGACTTACCAACTACTAGATATTTGCTACTAGTCATCTTGATTTATTAGACACTAGCTACTGATTATCTTGATTTCTTATATATCAATCACTTTGACTTCTCACGTAAACTACAAGCCACTTTGACTATAAAAAATATCAAATTACTAAAATTAAGTGATTTGCTAATTATCTGATATATATAAACTTGGTTATTAAATTACTTGAATTTTCAGGTACATTATCCCAAGAGCCAAAAGACTAAGTAGGCTAACTGGACCTCCTCTTGCCATGATAAGCCTGTAATTGGGAAAGGAGGACTTCGGTACTTGCTAACCCACAATTGTTACGAATGAAAAATGCAAAGTGAGTATTCATCCAGCTTCTATGTTAAAATCTTACGAAGGTTTGAAATTATATTTTCCACCTATTGCAAGAGTTCAATTTTTTTTAATTTTTTTTATGGGAATGGGGAGATCGATGGGAGTCTTTTGATCAGATAATGAAATGCATTGCTCAAACCTTGAGAGAGTCAGAATTATTCTTTTATTTTTAATAATTAGGCATTGTAATCCTACTATTAAATTTTCACAACTATATAATATCTGAAGCCTGCTCCTGTTTCTCGAAGCCCATGACACAAGCACCTTCATCGTCCTTCCAAGCTTCTTCATTGATTAACCTAACAAACTATACCTATTTTATATTGTTTCACTGTGGAATTGACTGGAATTTTCACTAGACCAATATGCGGGCAAGTTGAAGCTGCTGCAAGCTCTTGAAAAACACCCCCTTTGGCTATTAGAGAAATCACCTTGCTAGGTCTTCTCATGGGAGGTGGCCACAACATGGTGTCACATTTTATTTTATTTTTTTATCAAATGTAACATGGTGCCACATTTTGATATGTATATTTTCCGTGGAGAAGGTATGGCAATTTTTAAATAGAGAATTCTTTATGATCTAATTACTTGACATGCCAACTAACAAATCATAGCTACACTCAACTTTCTATGTATTGTTAAGCATTAGAATCATCTCATTATTATTATTTCAGGACTAAACAACACAGAGATAGTGGGATAAAAAATAAAAATAAAAACATTTTTAAAAGAATAAAGAGATTTATTCCAAAACCATCCCAAAAAAACATGTTTTTATTATTTTTATATTTATATTTTTTTTTATCTTAAAACACTAATCCACTATATGTCGTATTATTTAATGTAGTGTTGATATAATTGCAAATGGCAATCCAATTTGCCAGTATCTCGCCTGTTGTTTTATTTTATTTCCTGTTAAAAATATAAAAAATCTCATGAGACCAAATAATTGCTTCCGATGTCTAACCTAACAATCTCCACGCTTGATTGAGTTTGATATGTTAATGTGACAACCCATCAACCATTTTATTTTTCTTTCGGAAATTATCATTTCAGACCATGCTTGTTTCAGTAGAAAAGCAATAAATAACTTATATTAAAGTTATTAAATTCGACTCAAGTCGACTGATAACTTAATCTAAGTTTCAAATTATAAGTTAAAAGATTAATCTAGAATAATATTATTTTAATAATTATTTTTAAAAAAATTAAAAAAAAACCAATTTAACTGAAATCAAATCAAACCAAATTAAAATTAATTGATTGAATTTAAGTTTTTAATATAAAATGAAAGCAGGTCAGTTAAAATTTTTATTCGGTTTTGATTTTATTTTTTTATTTTACAAAATTTTAATTTATTTATTTTTATAAATAAAAAACAAATAGAATAGAATAAAAAATGATCATTCTTAAAAAAAACAGTTCTGGCATCTAACCTTCTACCCAAACAAAGCCATAAATTTGATGTCCCCTAATTTGGACACAATTACAATTTAATCCCCGAAAAAGGGCAGAGATTCAAAGCTTCCTTCCCATCACCAACAGCAACAGCATCAACGCCAGCATTCCACCCTTTTCTCCATTCCCATTTCTCTTCCATTTATATATAAATAAATCTCTCTCTCTTTCTCTCATTCTCAATCAAAGCAAACAGAGTTGCAAAGAAAAAAGGGGCAAAAACAAAAACAAAAAAACCCCTTTTAGTATTCTTTCATAGATAGATTTCAGTTATCAAGAATTGCCAAAGGTTTCTATTTCTCTAAGTTGATCTTTAATTTTAGTAACATATCTGTGGTTTTTGTTCTAATCCATTGTTAATCTTGACAGTCTCAGCTGCATTGATTGCATTTTGAAAATTTTGGATCAAATTATGAGGTGAATCAGGTAGTGGGTTTTTGTTTCTGTATTGAATTACAAATGTATTGCTTTCATGGGTTTTTCTTTTTATGCAAAATCTGAAATGGGTTTTCTTTGTCGTGTAAAATCTGAAATGGGTTTTTTTAAGTAAAATCTGAAATGGGTTTTCTTTTTTATGCACAAATGTGTTGATTGTATTGAGGTTTTGGGATTTTGATAGATCTGGATCAAGGAGATAGAGTGATTTTGAATAGAAGTGAAAATGAGTGAGGGCCAGAAATTCCAGCTAGGGACCGTTGGGGCTTTGAGTTTATCAGTGGTTTCGTCGGTTTCTATTGTGATTTGCAATAAGGCTCTCATTAGCACTCTTGGCTTCACTTTTGGTGAGTGTTTATATTTGCATACCCTCTCCTTATAAGCATAATGTATTTTGTTTGCTTAGATTAGATTTGATTTTTGTGAAGTTATGATTGCTACGTTGTTGAATCACTTTTTATGTTGCGGTATTCAATATTTATTCAATATAAATGTGTCTTTTTTTAGAACATGATTGTGGATAGTAGGATGGGGAGTTTGCTGGTTATATTAGATGCCATAATCATTTTAAAAGGACAAGTTTTATGATTATGCATGGATGGTAATTGTGTGAGGTCACGAATGATGGAATAGGAGACCATATGCTCATTTTTCAGAAATTATGGAACGGATTAAAATGGAGTTTTTTGTAAGTAAAAGCTTAAGACCATATGGTCTTCATCATTTAGTGTAAATTTAAAAAACTGTTTATGATTTGTCACGTTGTATTGTTTCCAATGCATCTTTGTAAGGTTTTACAATCAATTGATCATGGACACATAGTGCATAAGAAGTCAATCTTATTAGTTACTGATCATCAATTGATGTTTTATAGTGGGGGATTTCATTTGGTGACTGTAGTATAATCACTGGCAGTTTTTGATGATGATAGTAAATGGGTGGAAACTCTGTATGCGGTCATTTTTCTTTAGATGTGCTTGATTTGAATTATCATCACTATTTTTGTTGCTCAGCATTTTATTTTTTCTAATTTTTTCCATCATTTATACTAACTTATTTTCTGGCAAATGCAGCCACAACGTTGACAAGCTGGCATCTTCTGGTCACGTTTTGTTCTCTTCACATGGCATTATGGATGAAATTGTTTGAACACAAGCCTTTTGATGCAAGAGCGGTAATGGGATTTGGCATACTAAATGGGATATCCATTGGACTTTTGAATCTTAGCTTGGGTTTCAACTCAGTTGGTTTTTATCAGGTATGCTGTCTTCTCTGTGCCAGACTTATGATCTGGTATGCATTTTTCTTCCCAACCAGTATGCTATTATGTATGATCAGTGGCCATGGAATTTGATTTACATACTCTATCATTCTTTGACAGTAGCATCTTGATGCAGTAGACTAGTAAGTCATTTTAGGTGCTTTTGGGTTTCAGGGGGGTGGTAAACAGTAAAAAAAAAGTGCTTAATACTTTCCTGTGATTTAAATGAGACCAGGTTGTTGTTTATTAAACTCTTCCTTGTAAAGTATGAATTGACTGTGGATAGGTTGGGTTTCCCTTTGCAGCATCTTGATTTGTTGACATCTAGTAATATCATATTTAGTGAAAGTCCTTTGGTTGACCTTTTTTTCTGTCATATGCTGACTATTGTCCTGTCCACTTTAATCCTTGATGCTAGGTTTTCTTTTCCCTTATAAACCATTTTGGAGCAATAGCTTATGAAAATTTATTTACTTTATTTTCCCATTTTTTAGATGACAAAATTGGCTATCATCCCATGTACTGTTCTTTTGGAGACGCTTTTCTTCCGTAAGCAATTCAGGTCAGTGTGAATTATTGAGTATATTGTTTATTGAGAAATTTTTAGGCCTGCCACTAATGTAACTAATGTTGTTTTCGTAAGTTATGTGACAACAATTTAATTTTTGATGCACTTGCTTAAGTTGTATATGTGTTTACTCATGCCAGCTGTACTTGTGATACTGCAGTCGGAGTATCCAGCTTTCACTGACCATTCTTCTTATGGGTGTTGGAATTGCAACTGTGACTGATCTTCAGCTCAATGTCCTGGGATCTATCTTGTCTCTGCTTGCAGTCCTTACAACCTGTGTTGCTCAGATTGTATCCTTAGCTGAAGTTCCTTCGCTAATTGCTATTTGATTTCTTTTCTTCTTCTTTAAGATACCTTATTTAGTCGTTTCAATGGTAAGCAAAAGCAAAGGAAATATATAATAAGCACTGTACTGTGTGGCTACCATCCCTTCATTCTTAGGGAAGTCTCTGTCTTTCGTTTTTTATTTTTGTTGTTTTGTTAAAATCTTAACCAGTGCATTTCAGATGACCAATACCATCCAGAAGAAGTTCAGAGTCTCTTCAACACAACTTCTGTACCAGTCTTGCCCCTATCAGGCATTAACTTTGTTCATTGTTGGCCCATTCCTGGATGGGCTTCTGACTAACAAAAACGTTTTTGCTTTCAAATACACCCCTCTAGTGCTGGTGAGAATTGAGGAATACTTTAACCTCTTTCCTGGCATCTTCTTGTTTTTTCTTGCTTCTGACCATTTTCTGTGCATTATGTGGTTGCAGTTCTTCATTGTTCTATCCTGCCTGATCTCTGTCTCTGTGAACTTCAGTACTTTTCTGGTGATTGGAAAGACATCTCCGGTCACCTATCAAGTCCTAGGACATCTGAAAACATGCCTAGTTTTGGCATTTGGCTATGTTCTCCTTCGTGATCCATTTAGCTGGCGCAACATTTTGGGAATCCTCATTGCAGTGGTTGGAATGGTACTGTATTCTTACTGTTGCACCCTTGAGAATCAGCAGAAGCAAAATGAAGCACCAGCAAAATTGCCTGAGGTAATGCTCTTATCTCTCTTTCATGTTATGAGTGCAGAGTTAGTTAGTGCTTGTAAGCTTTTACAGACATCTAATGCTCTCATATTTTGAATGGGTTTTAGGTCAAGGAAAGTGAAACTGATCCTTTAATCAGCGCAGAAAATGGAACTGGGATCTTAGCTGATGGTGGCGTACCAAAAGTAGTCCCCTTGTGGAACTCAAACAAGGACTTGGATGCATAAACATTCTCATTTTTATAAATTCATTTGCTCTAGATCAAAATCTGGAAACAAAACTGTCTCAGCAATGAAGATGTTGCTGGCAAGGATGTATCACATAGCTGGAGTTTGTGGTCTTCTGAGATCGTTGCATCTATTATATCAGATAAAAGAGTTGAACAAACATGTTATTAATATAGCAGTTTTGGCTTAGTTTTGTATGAATCGCACAGGGCAAGGGTATGATACTAGGATTTGATTTCTTAAATGTATACTTTTGTTACAGCAGAATGCAAAATTTTTACTATTTGTTCTCAGGTTGTATTCCTATTCATCGGTGAAGAAGAACAAATACATATCTTGTCCTTAAGTTGCCAGTAAGTCAGTTCTTATAGTGCTTCTGAAACTTTCTACCTTCTTAATGCTTAGAGATCAATGAATTGCTTCTGAACCCGATTTTCTAAGGAATGTTGCAAGAAACTAAGAACGGTCACTGCGTGCATGCCATGGTGAATGTCTCATCACACTTCTTGGCCAATTTTGCTCTTTTTGACAGCTTCGTTGATATTTCTGGTTTTGGTGAGGTTCGCATTTACAACATTTGATTCAATCAAATTAAGAGCTTTGGCATTGATTATAATAAGAACCTTGACGTGGTCTAAGATACACATTATCAGTCTGAATGTGAATTAATTGGTAATTGCACCTCTTAAAATGAGTCTAGATTCATCAAACCTTGCAACAAACCCCCAAAACCTCATTGTGACAGAAGGGAAAAGGAAAACAAAGGAAGGAAGAAAAGAAGCAAAAGTCATCAACAATTCGAGGGAGTGGTTCTTCCATTATAATTGGCGGCAGGCATTTTGCCGGGGATACTTGGAATATAGAAACCTGCCCGCAACTTGATGTACTGTAGGGTGTCGCTGAATGTCAAAGGTCCCATATCTAGGCACCCAATTCCACCAAGGGGCCAGAAGCCAGTAGGTCAGAGCCCACTGCCATTCCAGTAGGTCAGAGCCCACTGTCTGCTTATATATATTAAAAAATTAATGGATGAAAAATATTTTATAATAAAAAATTAATTTAATTTTTAGAATAATATTTTTATTTTATTTTAAGAGGAAAACATTAAAGAGTTGCAAAAAATTAAAAAATATTTTATTATTTGTTAATTATATCAAATTTAATTTTTTAATTTTTTATTGTTATATTTTTTTTAATTTTATCTCTTAAAATTTAATTTAATTTTTATACCAATTTTAATTCTTATTCTTTTTTTTATTATTTTTTTATCTTATTATTTTTTAAAAGAATTTTTTATCTATCAAGTTAAGTCTTCATTTTTTTAATAGAAATTTTTTCAATTACATCATTTTTAATTTTTTTATCTGTTATATTTGATTTTCTTTTTACTACAATTGAATTTTTTTCAGTTTTATTTTCTTTTAATTTTTTAATTTGTCATATTCAATCTTTATTCTCTTAATAAATTTTAAAAAATAATTTATTTTTTAACTTATTTTTCATAACATTATCAAATATAAAAAAATATTTTCCAATATATTTTTTATAAATTCATTTTTTATATAAATTATTTTTAAAAAACTATTTTTTGGCGAGCAAACAAAACCTTAATATCATTGAACTTGCAAAGATGAACTTTTGAGGATCAAAACTGATTGAGACAACATGTGGCTATAGTGCTGAGCTTGAGCCCATTATATGTAAAGAGGTGCTTGGAATGGGGTTGAAAAGATTTAAGGTAAATTATTACAAAATTAATTATTATAAAATCAAATTTTAAGAGTATAAAAAATGATTTTAAAGATGTTTGATGTATTCATAAATTTAAATTTACATATTAGCAGAAAGAAAGTGAGATTAATTTAATTATTCGTAATGATTGGTGAAAAACAATTAAAAACTAATTTGGTGCATATCCTGAGCGAGAGAGAGAGGGAGAGGAAAATGGTTAAAAGTCAATGGTTTTAGAGCTTTTCATAGAAAAAAATATCTATCATATATCATTTTTTTTTAATAAAAAAACTAACCTTCCATTAACTTAACTAAACAAGCTTAATGGTTGATATTCAAGCTAATCAGATCGATCTCAATCCCACGTTCAAGACACCAATATCCATGAAAATAAAAGGATTAAATATGGAATTTTTTGAACAAGAGAGACTATCTTATCAAGGTCTTGAAAGCACAAGGACTAGACTATAACATGCTCTCCATTCTTTACTCGACGGTTGCTAAGATGATTGAAAGTCAAGAGTCGAGAAGAAGCCCCATGGCTCCGAGGCAGAAGATAATCAGCCTATCAAGAAGTACAGCTTTAGGTAAGGGAGCATGCCAGATGTTCACACATGGCCAAGAGGAGACCCAGAAGAGACATAAACCCATGGATTTGGATAATCATAATTATTAAAGAATAAAAAGTAAAAACTCAGAGCAGTAGCCACCATGTTTTCTTAGATAGACAGCAAGTTTAGGCAGGCAAAGGTGAACATTACAAACTGTGATACGTTACTGAGGGTTTGCCCTCAAATATGGCAGTCGACAATAATAATATGATGGAGTAATTAATTAATTAGCTCTTTGGATTCTATGTCAAAATTAGGGTTTTGAGCGTAAAGTTGTCTGGATATTCAAAGAAATTGACTTTTGTGGTGTCCATATCCAAAAGGTAATCCCTAATGAAGAGTACAAGTAACCATTTGCCGTGTAAAATATTCTATGGGCATCAGACTTATTCTGGATCCCCTTATTTAAAAAAAATAAAAAATTGAATTCCTCTTTTTTAAAGAAATAAATAAATAAAATTGCTAGATACAGAGTGCTCTAATTAATGTACTTAATTTTGTTTTTTAAAAAAGGAAGAGAGAGCAAGTTCAATTAGCCTAATTAAGAATATCAGCCGGAGCTGGCTTCAGAGATGACAACCTGCGTGCATGCAAGATGCCACGGCCAAGCTATATAATCCTATGATTTTATGACTCATTAAAGTGTCATTAATTAACGCTATGATGACACATTAAGCTCATTGATTTAGATACAATGAATAAACATTATAATTACCATGCACCCCTATGATGATACAGTATCGTGATCTAGTGGTCTTGATAGGAAATTTCTTGTATTTATGTTTAGGTTTGAATTTTTATATGCATATTTGTTATTTTCATGATGTTTTATTTGTATATTAAATTTATAGGATGTTCAATAAATCTAAAAATTAGCCATGATGTGTTTAAACTAGTCTAAATACCCCATGTTATATATAAAAAAGAGGAAATTTTCTCTTTTTTATAGGAAAATGTAATTTTATTTATGATAATAATAGTATATCATTATTAATATTGTTGTTGTTATTATGTTTTTATAAAATCTAAATTTAACATAATGAAAGTGGATTCGAGAATTAAAATATATAGTAATTATTGAGATTTTGAGTAGCATTTCATTAAATACATTGAACCTCCTCTTTCGGTTCTCCATAATATAAGCTTTAATTTATGAGTTTCGATTCTAGAAATTAATCTCTTATAATTGCTTATCAACGTGGTAGTGGGTTATGCCACCGACGTCTTATTTTATTGATAGATCAAGAATCAAGACTCAAGGCCAACATAAATAAAATGAAAAAATAAAAATTGAGGGAAAGAACCAAATAAAACTATGGAATTTAGATTATAGAATCTGAATTTTATTATTATTTAAAGTTCTTGAGGCATCAAGACTGATGAAAAGATCCGTGATTATTAAAAAAAGAAAAGAAAAGAAATAATGAAATATAAAGAGAAGTTGTCGTGTGTGTACTTTTCACCGATAAACATTTTTCAAATTTAATTAAGACTCTTCAAAGAAGATTCAGATTAAAAAACATATGATTATTCTATAGACTACAAAAAGAAAATTTATTATCCCACTACAATAAAATAATTAATTGTAAAAAAAAAAAAGATTATCCTACACTTGACAAACGTGATGGAGTAATTAATTAATTAATTAATTATCTCTTTGGATTCTATGTCAAAATTAGGGTTTTGAGCGTAAAGTTGTCTGGATATTCAAAGAAATTGACTTTTGTGGTGTCCATATCCAAAAGGTAATCCCTAATGAAGAGTACAAGTAACCATTTGCCGTGTAAAATATTCTATGGGCATCGGACTTATTCTGGATCCCCTTATTTTTTTTAAAAATAAATAAATTGAATTCCTCTTTTTTAAAGAAATAAATAAAATTGCTAGATACAGAGTGCTCTAATTAATGTACTTAATTTTTTTTTTTAAAAAAGGAAGAGAGAGCAAGTTCAATTAGCCTAATTAAGAATATCAGCCGGAGCTGGCTTCAGAGATGACAACCTGCGTGCATGCAAGATGCCACGGCCAAGCTATATAATCCTATGATTTTATGACTCATTAAAGTGTCATTAATTAACGCTATGATGACACATTAAGCTCATTGATTTAGATACAATGAATAAACATTATAATTACCATGCACCCCTATGATGATACAGTATCGTGATGTAGCAGTCTTGATAGGAAATTTCTTGCTTTTATGTTTAGGATTGATTTTTTATATGCATATTTATTATTCTTGTGATGTTTTATTTGTATATTAAGTTTATAGAATGTTTAATAAATTTAGAAATTAATTATGATGTATTTAAGTTAGTCCAAATACCCAAGTTATATATAAAAAAAAGAGAAAATTTTCTTTTTTTTATATAGAAAAATATAATTTTATTTATGATAATAATAGTATATTATTGTTGTTGATGTTGTTGTTATGTTTTTATAAAATCTAAATTTAATATAAAGAAAGTGGATTCGAGAATTAAAATATATAGTAATTATTGAGATTTTGAGTAGCATTTCATTAAATACATTGAACCTCCTCTTTCGGTTCTCCATAATATAAGCTTTAATTTATGAGTTTCAATTCTAGAAATTAATCTCTCTTATAATTGCTTATCAACGTGGTAGTGGGTTATGCCACCGACGTCTTATTTTATTGATAGATCAAGACTGATGGTCAACATAAATAAAATAAAAAATAAAAATTGAGGGAAAGAACCAAATAAAACTATGGAATTTAGATTATAGAATCTGAATTTTATTATTATTTAAAGTTCTTGAGGCATCAAGACTGATGAAAAGATCCGTGATTATTAAAAAAAGAAAAGAAAAGAAATAATGAAATATAAAGAGAAGTTGTCGTGTGTGTACTTTTCACCGATAAACATTTTTCAAATTTAATTAAGACTCTTCAAAGAAGATTCAGATTAAAAAAATATGATTATTCTATAGACTACAAAAAGAAAATTTATTATCCCACTACAATAAACTAATTAATTGACAAAAAAAAGATTATCCTACACTTGACAAACTTTGTGGATTAACTTACAATAAATAGAAGATTTTTTGTTAATTAATTAGTTTCTTTATAAACATAAGAACATCCAACCTTTATGCAAATATTAAATACCAAAAAACTGCAAGAAAAAAAATTGTGAATTTTTTGTTTTTTTAACTAATATAAATATTTAATTTAGCTTGTGTGTATATTGATAAATTTTATGAACTTTAATATTAATAATCATATAAATTATAAATATTCATATCTAAATATTTAGTAAAACACTTGTAATGTTTAATTATACAGACACACATGCATTCAAATTAAATTAAATTTTCTCTAATAATTTTTCATGCATTCAAATTAAATTAAATTAAATTTTCTCTAATAATTTTAAAAATACACCCTCAAAATGAATAAAGAAATAAAGGAAGACTCGTAATTATACCAATTCTAGAATATTAATAACGACAAACATGTGGTTATGTTCCCTCTTGCATAAATGTTAATAATAACTCTTTTAAGTTAATATTTTTTTCATAAAAAATCAACAAACAAACAAACAAAAACTGCTTGGAGTAAATGCAAACGAAACATAACAAAACAATCCAATCTCTCTCTTTCAAATTCTTTTATCTCCTCCTTTATTTTTATATAATCTCATAATTATAATTATTAAACCCGTTATGTGATATACCTAATCACATACCTAAATTAAAATCAATTTAACTTGAATTAACTTAATTATTGGAAAAAAATTAAAACAATTAATTTAATATTTTTTTTTAAAAAAAAAACAGCCAGCAAGTTATTAATCGGATTTTTAAAAAACAGCCAGCAAGTTATTAATCGGATCTAAATATGTTTTCATCGGAGTTTTAATAAGGCCAAACCAAATCGATTCTTCTTCCTAATCTAGAATCCAGATCAGCCCGGTTCTAAATTGATTCAACTGGCCGTATATCACTCTATTAATAATAATAATAGTATTAATATTTCTCCTTCTTTACTTTTTCTTCACTTCCTTTCCGTCGCATCTCATCAGACTGACATGCAAACAATCCACCTGTGAATCAATAAATCAAACCCGCACACAAACATCATATAAAAAACCAAAAAATTCCAAAGAAAACCCAAAGATATTAAAAAAGAATCCTTTCTCTTCCTTTGTTTTTTCTCTCTTTTTTGGTTTCTGGGTTCTTAAAATTGTTCTTGCCTCATCTTCTCTGTGTAAATAATAATAGGAATAACAATTCAATTCCAATCCTCAAAAAAGAAACCTTCTTTTTCCTCTCTTACTAAACTACAAGGAAAAAAAGAAAGCAAAAGAAAAAAACGGCAGCATATGATATGATCCTGTCAAGCAAGAAGAAAATCTCTTCTTTCAAGAATTAAATCTGTGGGTTTTGTTAGAATTTCAGTTTTAAATAATGGGTGATCTTCAAGTTTGTGACTTTCCGACTGAAAACGGCCATCGTCACCACCACCTTCATCACCAAAACGATCATGATCATCACCATCGTCTTCTGGGTTCGGGTCAAGACCCAGTTTCTCCTTCTTTTTCTTCGAATCCGGATCCTTGGTCAATTGTGGAAGAGAATTGGGAGAGAGCAGAGGAATTCACGAGAGAGATTGTTTATAGAATACACCCAACTGTAGAATCCAATTTCAAGAGGAAACAAGTTATTGGTTATGTTCAAAGACTCATTAAATCCTCTCTTGGATTTGAGGTTATATTTTAAACAATCCCTTTCTCATGCATAATTTCTCTTTTTGTTAATTTTATATGTTTTGTAGTGGTTTTGTGATGTGGGTTTTTGCTAATTTTTATTTTTGGGGTTAATGTGGTTTATTTCGGTGATTATAGGTGTTAATGTAGTTATTTCACCTTAATTTATTACGTCTTGTTCCAGTCTTTTTATTTTAATTGCAAGGAGGAATAGGGTTATTTTGTGAATTTGTTTGTATTGTGAAAGTTGAGTTACAATAGTGAAAATTTGGGATATTCAGGTTTATGGAGTAGTGATGTTATAAACTGTTTTTGTGTTTGGAAATTGTAGTTGGTTACGGGGTTTTTGGTGATATAATGCTGGATTGGAAAATGGAGTTTAGGGTGAATTTTTTTTTTACGTTAATGATTAGTGATTTTACACTATATAGGAAGATTAGGTGGTTTGCGTGAATGAGCTCTTTGCAGAGTAATGTTGTGGACAATTTGATTGACTGAGCTAGATACTAATCATGATGATTAGGAATGCAGAGGTAGACTTGTGTTCTTGTGTGTAGTTAACTGGGTTTTGCTTGTGAATAGCTGAAATGTATGGTATGAGTGCGAGTGTTCATTGATGTGGTGGGGTGATCCTTGGATCGGTTGAAATCTCGATAGTTAGTAGTTGTAAAGTGACCTTTAATGTTTTGATTCTGATCTTGATTCATGCAGCTGAATTTGGAAGGGTTTATTACTTGAAAGATCAATTGAAATATTTATTACGTCAACAATTTTTTGTTGAGATAAATCACACCCAATAAGTTAAGATTGGTATCTGTCTATTCAATTGTCTGCACTGCTTTCTGAAATATCATGAGTTCTAAAAAACACAGAAAAAGCTGCAAAAGATATGACTACTCTTTGAATGTGAAAATTGAGTTATAGTAGTGGCAGTCAGGATCTTAACGAGTGTAGGATAGTGATGTTATCAAAAGTGTTTGTGTATGGGTATTCCTGTCAGTGATGGCGTTGTTGGTCATGTGGCATTCTAATAATTTGATGAACATTCGTAGTGGAGAGATGGAGACAAAGCTGGTGTTTGTGTATGTTTTGTGAATGGAAGTATGAAGTAAGATTTGGTGGTTTATGATTACAGACCCTTAGGCCTTTACAAGGTAATTTATTTTAATCCAATCAACTCAAAGTAAAATTCTAATCATGATGATTAGAATTCTTAGTGTAGGAATTGATGTGTTTTGTTTATGTGGTTGATCAGTTATTGTGATTCATGAATTGTAATGCAAGAATAGGTTAATGAGTATGAGTTCATTACAGAGTAAATTTCTCATCATGATTAGGTTGCAGAAGTAGATTTTCATTCTGTGTGAGGTTAACTGGAGTTGTATTGGTGTATTATTTGTCATGTTTGACATGAGTACAGGTGTTTAGGCATGTGGCAGGAAGGTCCTGAGTGAGTAAAAGCGTTGATGTTGCAGTAGTTGTAATGGGATTGTGAAAGTTCTGGTTCTGGTGCTGAAGCCTAAATCTTAAATTGAAACGATTTAGTTGGGATTTCAATTGTTGGTGTAAACATTATCACTTTTTTAACTTTTCTCAGTTTAAGCATCACCCATTAAGTCAAGATTGGTATCTATCTGTTCGATCGTGATCACTTTCTGCAATTAGTGTTTAACACATAGGAGTTACAGTTAATTTCAATGCTGTGGATGCTAATGGAATCTGTACCCTTTTCTGGTCAATCTTTCTTACAGGTATTCCCATATGGGTCAGTTCCTTTGAAGACATATCTCCCTGATGGGGATATTGACTTGACTGCCATTAGCAGTCCTGCCATTGAGGAAGCTTTGGTCTCTGATATTCATGCTGTTCTAAGAAGAGAAGAGCTGAATGAGGATTCTACATTTGAAGTGAAGGATGTCCATTGCATTGATGCTGAGGTTCTTCTCATGCAGATACCTTATCTTTTATTTCAGTTCTAATTAGTTTAAAGTAGAGAAATTGGTAGTTTTGCAGAATGAATGTTCTAGTCACTTCCCTTGTTCCTTCACTTCCAGTTGATTCTGGGTTTTTGTTGGCAGGTTAAGCTTATAAAATGTATTGTACAGAATACAGTGGTGGATATTTCCTTCAATCAATTAGGAGGACTTTGCACCCTATGCTTTCTTGAAGAGGTATGATTCTTATCTTCGTTGGCTTTCTGGATGAGTTTATGTATTTGTACTATAGTTGCAGGATTGAGTCCATGAATTTGTCTTTTGCACATATTTTAGGAAAGGTGTCTTAAATTAATTTATGTCTTCTAGTGCCATGCTCTGTTGTAGCACCCAGCTCCCTGATAAAATTAGGATCAGATTTACAAGTGCTGTAGAATATGATTTTGGTCAAGTTTTGATTATCGTTTTAATATCACTTGTATGCAGGTTGATCAGCTTGTTGGAAAAAATCACCTCTTCAAACGCAGCATTATTTTGATAAAGGCTTGGTGCTACTATGAGAGTCGAATTCTTGGTGCCCATCATGGTTTGATTTCAACGTATGCTTTGGAAACACTGATTCTGTACATCTTCCATCTATTTCACTGTTCCTTAAATGGGCCTTTGGCGGTAAGATTTAGAGGACTTAACAGTGTGGATTGTGCTTGTGCATCTTCAATTGAAACGTTGCCGTGTGCATGCAGTATCTCCGTGTGTGCAAATTGCAGTGTTCTATGCATTCATGAACATTGAATGTGCATGCATTTTCTGTAGGTTCTCTACAGATTTCTGGATTACTTCAGCAAGTTTGACTGGGAGAATTATTGTATTAGTTTAAATGGACCAGTCTGCAAATCTTCCCTTCCCAATATTGTTGGTGAGTTACTTGCTGCATTCTTTTTAACAAACCAGTTTCATGTTATAGATCATTTGATGGATTCATATTTGTCTCATGCTTTGTCTCTTTTTGTGCAGCTGAGCCACTTGAAAATGGGCAAGGTGAATTGTTGCTTAGTGATGAATTTCTCAAAGATTGTGTTGATAGGTTCTCTGTCCAATCAAGAAAGCCTGAGATGAATTCACGGCCTTTTCCCCAAAAACATCTTAATATAGTTGATCCTTTGAAGGAGAATAACAACCTTGGGCGCAGTGTCAACAGAGGTTTGAAGCTGTCTCTTTTTCTCTTTTAATACTGTGGCACAACAAGAAGAAGAATTTGTATTGACTGGTGTACCTGACCTTGGATATGAATTTTCTTTTTTCATCACATTGAAATTGTAAAATTTTCAGTGACGTCAAAACTTAGTTATAATTGTTAAACTCTGTTTTTCTACTGCTTATAGCATGACTGACCATCATGGCTTTCTCCCTGAGATTATTAATGGAATTAGCACCACTTACAAATCCATTGTTAGCACTACCTTGTCTACACTTTTGCCCTCATGACTACCATGGCATACCTTAGGTTCTTTTGTTGTGCTTTACCTTTGGTGGAAGGTTTGTTCTGCATTGTGGCATAAAATCTAAGCTGTTTATCTTGTGCTAAAGGGCAAGGGTAACAGATGACATTATCCTTCCTTTTTTTAAAAAAAACATGGGATTCAGCGCAGTTTTAATAAATGACAATTTGTTTTGCTCCTGTTTGTATGCATGTTGAGTCCAATTAAATGGGCTCTTAAGAATGTTCGTGTTATCCCATGCCAATGATTATAATGTGGGTTTTTTTTGCAGGTAATTTCTTTCGAATAAGGAGTGCCTTCAAATATGGAGCTCGCAAGCTTGGCCAAATTCTTTTGTTACCCAAAGAGAGAATATCTGATGAGCTCAAAATATTCTTTGCAAATACTTTGGATAGGCTTGGAAGCGACTATTTGACTGAAGGGGGAAATTCTGAATTAGCATCTGGTGCTAGTTCTGATAACTCAGTATCACTGTCATCACATTCCAATACTTGCTCTGAAGATGACATGCATCTGAAATTGAATGGTGGCTATGATAATGATACACTATTTTCTGAAAAATCTAATCATACCCCCCCTTTGCATTTCCCAGGGCTATCTGAAGGAAATAGAGAGATGCTTATAAATTTTAGTGCTGATGATGAAATGAGCTGCATTTTTACGCCAGAACCAAAACAGAACCATTTTCAGAGTAGTAATTCAGTGTGTTCATGTACCAAGCATGAAGGAATAGCTCCATCTGTTTCAACAACCCCAAATCCTGCTGATAATGTCCCGGAGAACCTATCAACTACTCGAGTAGAAAAAGACTTTGCTGGCATTACTGGAAATTCCCAACCTTCAAAATCCTTGCTGGGACTCAGAGGGGATCACAATGGCCACTTACAAAGTTTGGCATATAGTCAGTATTGCCATGTGCATGCTGTTTCTGCACCTATACCTCCCTGTCCTTCCATGTTGCCTCTGTCAGAGAATAAGAATAGTTGGGAAACCGTTCAACAATCCCTACAATTGAAGCAGAATGGTCATTCTCAAATGAACACGAACCATGTTTTTGGAACACAACTCTATTGTGTTAACCCAGGGGGGCCATTTAGAGCTGCTACTGATTCTGAAGAAAAGAAGAAACGACGAGGAACAGGAACATACATTCCCAACATGGTATTTCCAAGTGACTATTATGCTCTCTGGCATTTATGCTTTTTGATGATTGTTGGCATTCCATCCATTTTTTTTTTAATAGATTCCAGGTATCATAGTTTTTCCTTGTTTATGATTTCGCAGAGTTACCACTCAAGTAGGGGGGATAGGCTGTCCTTGGGAAGAGGGAGAACTCAACCACAAGCAAATCATGGTCAGTTGCATAAATATGCCCATGAAAATGGTTTGCCTACAACTTTGCAGGAGAAGAATCTCTCTGAACATGGCCATGATCTTTCAGAGGCCGAATACCCACATCTTGGTAATGGGAAGCCTGTGCCATTAGAGGCCCACCATTCTTACCCTTCTGTATGGGGATCTTCCAATGCCAATGGTTCCTCCCGTGCATTTGTGAGAACTGATTGTGGGTCTCGGGGCTTTCAGCATCCTGAAGGGCCTCCTTCCACGTCAGATTTGGTGGTCCTGTCATGCCCTGGGACCTCAGCTACAAGCCCTGTCGCATCAACAGCCAAGGACCTCGAGATATTAGAAAATGAGCAAGAAAGGTAAATAGACTTTCCTAGAATCTGTAAATTTTCATTTTCAATAAAAAAGAGGATAATTTAAGGGTTTTTCGTTTTTAATATTTTTTTCTTTATAGAAGGTGGTACTTTATTAATACCTCATCATCTGGATTTTAGGGCATTATTGCAGCAATATCATCTTAAAGACAATGTTCATTTTCCTCCTCTGACTCAATGAATGATTGTGAAGCGTGGATTAACTGAAGATAATGACTATAGATTCTGATGACTATCCAAGATTCGGTGAAGACTTCTGTTTTGCTTTTCTTCTTCACCTTCCGCTTGGAGATTGAGGTCATTCTAATGTAGAAAACGACAATTTTTGTCCGCCATGATGGTTTTCTACGCTGACTCTGTAACACCGGCTTTTGTTTCTTAGATCTTATGTTTCCATTTAAATGTTTGTAGGATTTGGAGGTAGTCTAACAGAAAAGGTTTGTGTAGATATCTTTTCAGTGAATAGAGAAACATCCGAACGTCGATTGTTGATGATAAATTTCAGCTTTGCAGTGAAGACTAGTGGATATTTGAATACAAGTTTTGGTCTTCAACAGAGGAAACTTTTGAATTTGCCCTGTGAATACCCCTTGACACAGAATTACCAAAGTTTTTTTATTTTTCCTCTGTGCTTTGGTGGAGTTATATCCTCAGGGTGCTGAAAAGTTTCCAAAATGTTAAGAGTTGAAATCCTGAGAGCTTTGTCATTATGATGTGCATGCTGACCTTCTCCTCCTCCAACTAATCCAAGTGTGGACGAGCTGTCCCTGAAATTTGTCGCAAATCTCCCTTTTCTTCATGTCACACGATCCCTTCTTATAATTTCTCTCTTTTTTCTTAGTGGTGAACTTGGATCATACTAACATTTTTAGAAAAGAAGGCCAGAAATCATCTATAATTAGTGTTGGGTTGCTAATTTGAGATAGAAAACGAAGACAATGGAGATGTCTCTCTCACCAAGCATATTTTTATTCCTTCACATTAACCAATCGCAACCTTGAATTGAAAAAATGATATCAAATGCACTAATGAATTGAAATAGTTTTGGTAAACAAAAGTAGTTTATATTTTTTTTAGAAGTTGTATTGCAACTCATAATTATCATTATTAAAAAGGTATGTCTATCATTAAATAATTTAACTCAGCCTTACAATATAGTTTGAAAACAGAAAATTTGAAAAATAAAATTATCCAATACATGTGTGTTGATATGTTTGTCTGCTAAAAAATAGAAAAAATAGAACCAAATTGAAAAATCAAGAGCTCAGATGTGCTCGCTTTCGTCCGATGGTGAGATCAGACGGTGGTGATAGACCCTATCATCACGTTCAGCACAGAGGTCATCACAGCTCAGGATTTGCACCAGCCGGGAATCGAACCCGGGTCTGTACCGTGGCAGGGTACTATTCTACCACTAGACCACTGGTGCTTGTTGATTCTCTATGGTTAATGAAATATATTACATACTTATCCAACCAGCTAGATAATAGACATGTCATAGAAGAGTGACATTTGTCATAAGAATATAAAATCAACCGTTGTTAGAAATTACTTTTATTACATTCAGAACTATTGCTTAGATTCTTAAAGTCTTTGTTTTTGAAATAGCATAATATATATACTCCCTTAGTTTTATACCAGATTTGTTGCCCGTGGCCTGGTTAAATATATATTTTTTACATTGAAAAGAATGCTTAAAAAAAATAATTTGAGATCTGAGTTATTAATTCAATTAATAATTTAAAAAATATAAATAAAATAATAAAACAATAATAAATAAACTAACAACAAAAAATAGATTAAAAAAACCTAGATCTAAGTCCATCTAAAATATAAAAACCTAAAGTTAAAGGAAAAAATTGAAGAAACAGACAATAAAAAAAACTTAGTTAAATCGAGCTACCTCACAAACTTTGTCATCATAAATATAAGATTAAGATAATTTTATAGAAAAAAAAACATAAAAAAAAGTTTGAAAATCAATTTTTAATAAATCAAATGAGAGCATAGTAATTCCAGAAAACAAAATAAAAAGGATAAAGATAAAGCTTAGTCTCTAGAAAATAAAATGTTGTAGGATGAAAATAAAAAAAATAGTAAAAAAGGTTAAAAACTCGATCCGAGCCCACTCGGGTGAAAATGCAAAATCTTTGACCCAATCTTGATATTAGTTTAACAATGTTCAAAAGAAAAATGGATAGAATTATGAAACTTAATTATCAAATAATCCAATGTTAAATAATAAAGATAAAAAAAAATTAATTAAAAAGACCAATGAAAAAAAATTAAGTAAACTCAGGTTAATCCATTAATCTTATAACTATGAGCATAAGATGAAGACAATTCATTAAAATAAATATGTAAATTAAATTTTAATAATTAAAATATTAAATGATGAAAGTGAAATAAATTACTTAAAAAAAAAGGAGCAAAAAAAGTCAATCATCATGAATCTTTAAAATTAGTGACTCTAGTCATGAATCTAAGACTAACATAATAAAAGGTAAATCGTGAAAAATAACAACGTAAAATTATTTAAAAAAAAAGATTAAAACTAAGAAACTATCAGTTTTTTTTTTTAAAAGCAAACTCGGATGATCATTTTAAACTCAGTCTAATTTTTAAAACTCACAACCCATGAAATCCTGGACCTGTATTCAACTAAAAAGATTAATTCATAATTAATTTAATTTTAAAAATATAAAATCATGAAAAAAAAATTTTAAAAATAAAAATAAAAATCATATTTGAAGAACTAAAAAGATTATAAAGGTTAAATAAAAAAATATTAATAATTTAATTCCCAGCAGATCATTGCAGACCATTTCTTCTACAAACTTACTTATTGCATTCAAGAAATTGGACAATACGGTGAGATAGGCTATTGCTATTTACCTAGGCCTATATAATGATTGTGTCCCAGCAGATCATTGCAACATATGTTATTACGCTCTCTTTGCTTGCGCTTTTATAATATCCTTATTTGGCTCTCCTGATCACCTTCTTGCATCTTTGTTCTTCAGGCTGGATTCTAGCTTTGTTTGTTGAGGTTCAATTTGTCTTAATTACCTCGCTATCATTTTATTTATCATGTGTTGGATTAAGTCCCAATTATTCCTTCTTTTTCTTTTTTCTTTTTTTTTTTAATTTGGTTCTTTCCTTTTCTTCGATGCAAATGATTTGGCTCTCCTGATCACCTTCTTGCATCTTTGTTCTTCAGGCTGGATTCTAGCTTTGTTTGTTGAGGTTCAATTTGTCTTAATTACCTCGCTATCATTTTATTTATCATGTGTTGGATTAAGTCCCAATTATTCCTTCTTTTTCTTTTTTCTTTTTTTTTTTAATTTGGTTCTTTCCTTTTCTTCGATGCAAATGACGCGTCCCACTCACTCCTATTAGGGCTCTTTTCAGCCTTGTTATTGACTGTGGCACTAACCGATCTATACTCTGCATCAGCTCTGAGTTTTTTTTTTGTCCAGTGTGCATTTTAACTACAGTACTAAGCATGGTGTCACTTTGCACTGTGCTGGTGTGACATTAAGCTAAATGATGCTAGTCCCCCTTCTGCAACTCGGCTATTTAACTTGATGCATTCGACATTTTTCATCAGCTCGCTAATGCTCTTTCAAATGCTTATGTTTGACTTTTTCTTGAGATCTATCCCACTTTTCCAGGTTGATTACTTGAACCGAACTTTAACATGTTTCGATATTATGTTCATGAAAGCATAGCTTTACTTATTTTTCACTTTGAAATTTACATGCCATGTGCAGCAATCCCTCGTTCTCTGTTTCAGCAGTTTGGCACTAGTTAGTTCTTAGCCATGAACAAATGTCTGAGCTTCTTGAAAAGGCTGCATATGCGCTGCTTTATTTTTTGGGACACTTGTGAAGCAAGCAAGCATCGCTTCCTTCTACAAACAGTCTATTTATGTTAACTGTATGTAAACCTTTTCTGATATGTTTTGAATTAATTACAGCAATGTATCCTGCCAAGATTTTCATACAGGTAGAGAGTAAAACTTTGGATATTAAAATGATGATGGGAGTTGGAACCTCATTTGCAGCACATAGCAGTTGCTCCTCTCCTGGTCATACTTCCCGTGCTAGAGAGTCAGGTATGTGTACACCTGTTGTTTTCTATCCCGAAGAAACACTAAATAATTTTTATTTCTCATTACCTGTGATGATAATAATAATTTAAGTTGCTTAAATTAATTTTATATGTTTGAAATCCCACTTACCCCAGACTCAAGCTTTATGTTCATTAACATTTATTTGTTTGCAGAGCATAACACAGTGAATTAGCCAAAGAACAAGATTGTCCTACAATTAAAAGCAGCTCACGTTTCTAGAACTGCTCTGCGGTAACTCCAGGTTTTATAGTTACGCTAAAAATAGGGTATAACTTAATTAGTAAAATTCTAAATTTATTTTTATATTCTAAAGATTATTAGATGAAGTTTCATAAATTTTAAAATAATATATAATCATTAATTTTAAAACTCAATTAATAAATTAATTGAGGTACATCCAAGCTAACCTAAAAAAAATAAAAAATTATGCTATCTTCTATCCTATAAAACATTGAAAATTTAACAAAAATAAAATAAAATTGTGGCCCATATGTCCACGCTAAGCTATTTAATGACATTATAGATATTTATTGTATCTCAAAGTTGGTTTAATCTTTTATTAATTAATACGGAAACTCTTATTTATTTGTTTTTGGATCAACATCAACACATGATGTCATAGATGACTAAATTTTTCATAGCCATACATCACATTTTAATTGGACCTATTAGCACATAATCCTTGTATTAGTAAAACCAAATTAGACCTCCATTTCTATGATTAATTAACAAGTAAGAAAAAATTATTATTTCTCTCACTTCGTTTGTTTCAAATATTCGATTATTTCTCTTAATAAAAATGTCCAGTTAAGCCTTAATTCTTTTGAAGCGAACACAAGATAGATGAAGGGTTTGATACTAGTAAACTATTATATATCACCATTAATTATTGATTCCATAATCATACTTATAGTTAAAAACCTCTATTAATTAATTACTTGATTCTCCACCTATTATCTGAGGTCCTCCATGAACAACACCAGTCGGTGGTGAGCTCTATTGTCATGGTCCAGCCATCACTGTGGTCCCATGTTGCCATGGAAATGAAACAATGAAAAGTCGTTCTCGGTAGCGACAGTTGACAAGTCCTGTGTTTTTCTACATTCAATCCAAGTCACCAGCTAATGGCAAGCGAGGTAGATACATTGTTTCTGTCATTTCATTTTCAACACATGGATTATGTGGCATTTTTCTTGGGCAATCTCTATTATTCTATAGTACTTCACCAGTGAAGAGAAGGGTTTATATATATATGAAGTGAATATTGATGGAGAAAAAGATTTTATTACAAGTTATATAAATAATTAATTATTAGAAATTCAATTATAAGAAACATTTAGTCATTGTAATTAAACCCAATTTAGCCCATGACCCAAATAAATGATTCATTTATAAATTTTGTGTGTTAATTTAAATAAATTAAAATAATTTCATTT